TCTGAATGTATGCTAAGCTGTGTAATTATTGTATCTGTTATAATTATTTACTTATATTTTCAAAAAATTTACTTTTTTTAAATAAATAATTAATTTTTAAAAGAAATAAATAACTCATTCAGGCGTAGTTAGAAGCTCATTGATGTTACGTCATTTTGATTGAATTTTTACATTATTTACACTGTGGTCAAAGTTTTAGTTATCTACAATTATTTACATTTTTTTCAGTTACTATTCAAAAATATAATTTGGTTTACTTTTGACGACGTACTTAAGTCTTTTGCGTCTATCCGATATTAAATCCGAACGACAAAACTCTTCATACACTCCTACGTGTCTTTGCTTAAGGTGAAGCTTTAAATTTGTAATTGTACTTTAAAAAAAATTGTTTTGCAATAATTGCACACTGGTTTTTTTTCGTCCACACTTTGGACTATAAAATAGTTCCAAATGGCTGCGCTACGCTGGCGTGACATTATTATACACTTTTACATACAACACGTTAAATCCTATCTATATTACACTAAATATTTAAAATTACTTTAGGAATAAAACTTAACGAAAAATAAACAAAAACAACAATAGCTTTTTCACGTAATATGGGGACCTGCTATCAAAACATTACGTATATAATTTAACAGATAACAGTGTCATTGTCATCTCAGCTAGACAGCTAACTGAACAATAAACTGATATATTATATATTACAACAGCCAAATTAAATAACAGGCACAACAGGCAACTAATGAAGGAAATAATATATTTTTGTTTACCGTTATAATTTAGTGTTAGTAAAATAAGCTCTTATTAAGTTAGCTTAGAGTTTAAATTAGTGCAAGCTATACGCAATCCTTGTGGCATAATGAATGTAGGTAGTATTTTATTGACTCCCATTGTCTCGGCCGACGCGACGGTTGGACCGTAAACGTAAACAGATGACGCTTTCTCATCATCATCATCATCATTACAGCCCTTCACAAGTCCACTGCTGAACATAGGCCTCCCCCAAGTAATGCCAAAAAGCACGGTCCTGAGCCACCTGCATCCATCGACTTCCTGCATGTCTTACCAGGTCGTCACTCCATCTAGTGGGGGGTCGCCCTACACTACGCCTACCGGTACGAGGCTGCCACTCGAGAACCTTTCTTCCCCATCGGTTATCGGTTCTTCGAGCTATATGGCCGGCCCATTGCCACTTCAGCTTACTAATCCGTTGGGCTATGTCGGTCACTCTGGTTTTACTGCGGATATCCTCATTTCTGAGTCTATCACGCAGAGAAACTCCGAGCATAGCCCTCTCCATAGCTCGCTGAGCGACCTTAAGCGTCCTCATACGGCCAGCAGTGAAGGACCACGTCTCAGATCCGTAAGTCATCACTGGCAACACGCACTGGTTGTACAATCTAGTTTTTAGAGATTGAGGTATACCTGACGAAAAGATATGCCGTAATTTCCCGAACGCTGCCCAGCCGAGTTGAATCCGTCGATTGACCTCTCGGTCGAAGTTGGACTTACCTAGTCGGACTATTTGTCCCAGGTAAACGTATTCGTCAACAACTTCGAGCATAGTGCTCCCAACAACTACCGGCATAGGTGTGACATGGACATTGAACATGATCTTTGTTTTGTCCATGTTCATCTTAAGACCTATCCGTTGGGAGGCACTATTGAGGTCATTGAGCATAGTGCTTAAGTCCTCCAGCGATTCTGCCATAAGGACTATATCGTCGGCAAATCGAAGGTGAGTGATGTACTCGCCATTGATGTCAATACCGTATCCTTTCCAGTCCAGTAGCTTGAAAACGTCTTCCAATGCAGCGGTGAAGAGTTTCGGGGATATAACGTCACCCTGTCTTACACCTCTCTGCAGTTGGATAGGTTTCGAGCTCTGGTTCTGTACTCGGATAGCCATCGTAGCCCTACTGTACAAACACTTCAGCACTTCGATATACCGACAGTCAACTTGGCACCGCTGAAGGGACTGTAGCACCGCCCAAATTTCGACGGAATCAAAGGCTTTCTCATAGTCCACATACGCCAGGCAAAGTGGCAGATTGTACTCTTCAGTCTTCTGTACAATCTGCCGCAGGGTATGTATGTACTGAAGCCTTTTCGGAAACCGGCTTGTTCGGGAGGCTGGAAGTCGTCAAGTCTGCGTGCGAGACGATTCGTAATGACTCTCGAAAACAGCACGTAGACGCGGCTCAGAAGGGAAATCGGTCTGTAGTTCTTTAAGAGAGCGTTGTCGCCTTTCTTAAAGAACAAGACCACCGCACTTCTGCTCCACGCCTCTGGAGTAGTGCCACCATGGAGGACGGAATTGAAGAGCTTCTGAAGGACTTCAAGTACCGGTGTTCCACCCGCTTTCAGAAGCTCCGCTGTAATTCCATCCTCGCCTGGGGCCCTGCCGTTTTTAAGGTGCTGGAGAGCCATTCTAATCTCGCTTAGACTGACGTCCGGGATATCATCGGAATAGTGTCGGATAAGACTTGCTCTTGGATCGTTACTCACACTTGCGTGTGGCTCCAACGATGATGTGTACAGCTGCCCATAGAACCTCTCAATCTCACTCAAAATCTCAGGTGTCCCGGAAACGATGTTGCCACACTCAGTCTTCAGCCTTGACAGTTGGCTCTTTCTGGCAGACAGATCTCTGGCAAAGACTTTGGAGCCCTGGTTCCGCTCGATCGCTTCTTTAATACGAGAAGTATTAAAGTTGCGTAAGTCTCGCCGTATGCATTTGGAGATCTGTCTGTTCAGTTGCCTGTATGCTGTCAAATCTGTTGACGATTGCAGCCTCATCTCCCGTCTAACAGCCATGAGATTAAGAGTGTGATCGGAGAGTTTTTGTGTTCTTCTGCGGCGGGTCTTACAGAACTTAGCTCCGACCGCATGGACAGTTTCCACGAGCTTGTCGTTCATATCGTCCACTGCATTGCAATCTTCTAGGCACTGGAAGCGGTTACGTAACTCGAGCTGAAAGGTTTCGGGATTCTGGATTAGAGCACGAGGGGGACGGAGCGTTGACTTCATTAGACGAGACCTCTCCAACTTAACGTTTAGGTTCAGTGTGCCTCTAACCATTCGGTGATCGCTGCCAGTTTTCACCCTTGCGATCACTGAGACATCACTGAACAGTTGGCGTCTGGTCGTCATAATGAAGTCAATCTCATTTTTTGTCGAACCGTCGGGGCTCGACCAGGTCCACTTCCTGTGGGGCCGCTTCTGGAAGAAAGAGTTCATCATAAAGAGTCCCTCTTTCTCCATAAAGTCGGCCAGCTGCTGGCCCCTTCGGTTCCGTTGCCCTACTCCAAATTTCCCTACCTTCAGCTCACCGCTTTCTCTTGTGCCCAGTTTTGCGTTGAAGTCTCCCATCAACACCGTGTAGTAGGTTCTGGAGGAATGTATGGCTCTGGAAATATCCTCATACATTTCCTCCACCTCCTCATCGGGATGTGCCGAGGTTGGTGCGTAAACCTGAATGACCTTCAGCGAATACCGTTTGGTGATTCTGAGTATCAGGTACGCGACCCTCGTCGACACACTCCCAATCTTTACAACGTTGTTGACGAGAGATTTGTGGACGATAAATCCGACACCTCCTTGGGACAGATGGTCGCCCTCCCGGTGATAGAACAAGTTGCCGGACTCGAGGATTGCCGTGTCCTCCCCCTCTCTTCGGCACCTCGGATAATCCAATAATATGCCAGCGCAACTTGTCTACCTCTTCTTCCACGATATGACGCTTTCTACGATAATGAATATAATATTATAACAGTCAATGGTTCATTATTCTAATGTGTTGTAAGATTAAAAATATATAATGAAATATATTATCTGTTGTATGTCATAACGCCCAACTTTAGGGGTGACCGACCGCGCGCACAAATGCAGCTAGCCTCCCCCTCCCGAACCTCACTAATCGTCGCTTCACACCGCTTGAGATAAGACGATCTACTATCAGGCGCTAACAAACCCCCGTCCCGGACATAAGGCCCGACGATGTCCGCGAGTAAATTGGCAATTAGAAGACGCTTTGTATTGTTGGTTTTTGCAAAAACGATCAACTGGGCAAATGATATCTGGCCCTTTGCTTTGTGAAAAAGTATTACAGTTAAATAAAAAATTAGGTGACGGCGGCTCGTTTGTCGCAAGTAACGGATGGTTATATAGATTTATATCTCTTCATGGAATTTAATCAATGTTTATTAAAAAATAATAATTTCTTAATAAACATTGATTTTCGTTAATTGTTGTTTTTAATAAACACATAACATTATGTACATAGTATATATGTACATATATGTACTACAAATGCACAAAACCCGCTTTTCTTCATACATTCGATCATCCGGATTTTCGATTATCCGAATCCCTAACGGCAACAATTAGTCCGGTTAATCGAGTATATATATACATATTGAGAATCTAAATTGAGAATTTAAACTATACGCGTGTGTGTGTTTGTGTGTATATAAAGAGGGCTACTTTTAATATCGCTCATTTTAATATCAAAAATTTAGGTTATCTTTATAGCAGTATTATATTTTCAATTCAAAATTAGTACTGCATTTGTGATAATAATAAAATGTAGGTATGTATATAGAGTACTCACTCATTTTCTTTCACTATTTTTTCGTGACTTTCTTCATTAATAATAAATGCACTTTGTTCATTCATATTCAAAATTTCAAAACACTTTATACACAAACACCGTGTCGAAGACTGAGGAAAAGAAACGACGTTAGACCATCGTTAGACACTGCACGGCCTTCAAGCCACACCTCCGTGCCCGTCAGAGAGCGTGAGGTTTTTTCGTTACGGAATTTCTGGATTTTCCCGCACTCAAGGCCCGCGATAGAAGCTATGCAATAGCTTAAAATTGTTTTATTATGGCAGGATATCCGACACAATATGGCGGCGGCACGCTAGTACAATAAAGTGTCAAATGATACGTCATTTTCATTGGACAGTACACTGCGTTATATTTCGGAACATACCCTAAAGATGCATCCGTGTAGAAACCTAACTTGATAGTATCTTTTACAATCACTTCATTTTCTAATCCACCACTCTTCATCACACTATCTATCGATGGACCCCAGAAAGGGTGACCCTTATAAGGAATTTTAAAGTTCACTGTTACGTTCCCTCTTAATTTTGTTAAGTACACGACTTCTACCTCTAAAGCACCCTTATTTGCTGACAGTACCGCGGTCGCCGCCCGCCCGGGCAGCAGTTCCGTTTCAACACTACTTGTGGTACCAATCGAAATAGTTTCAGATCGCTCTTCACTTTCGCCCCAACTAGTTGTATATGAGAAACCAGTCGTGCCCATCATCCTCGCAAACATCACGTTCATATCATATTCAATTTCCTGAGAAACCGTCGTCTCTTTGCTTTTGGTCCAACTTGTCGAAATCGTATTTTCCACTGTTTGACTTATCCCTGTGTTTACCTTAATCGTCTTATTTGAAACGTTATCGAAGTCGTGAGACAACACTATTACAGGTTTCTTCGTTATTGTCTTCAATCTAGCTGATTTGACAGTCAAAACTCGCGACACCTGTTCCCAGTTATATTTTCGGAACAAATCTCTACAGGGTGTCAAACTTTTTAAGTAAACATTGCTGAGAGACCAATGGTAGTGTCTCTTTACAGCCTTCCTTATGTTAGCGTTTCCAATATTAAATAATTCAATTTCCCGATGACCAATAACGTCGACTCCGAAACCAGAATGTGTTATTCCAACATTTATATCTAATGAGATCTTCGAATCAACTTTTTTTGCGGCAACTATAAATAAAATCAGTGCTTCAATACATAAGAATTATCAAAATTTATTCTGTTAAGACTTTTTATAGAGATGTGTAGTAACTAACGAACGAAACTTTATTTTATGATTTCAATATACTTTTATATTTTGGTTATGCAATTTCTTAAAGACAAATGTGTTACGAACTTAGAAAGGCCTTTTAAAAGGCAAAACTGATATTAGTTAAATGATAACCCATAAGTTGTACTTACAAACTCATTAAAAATAAAATAATATAAAGTTAAGCATTTTAATCTTAACTATCTCACGTCGAGTTTTAGTTAGAGTTTTCCTGTCAACGAAATTGTGCCTGATCTCTCGCATCGTCAGGTCGTGTCGGATTGGCATTTGAGTTAGGAAACAGTGAGTGCATGTGTACTTGCGCACACACTTGAGTACTATAACCCTGTTCTGCGCAGATGGCTAGGTTCTGTTGAAATGAAACTGGGCATCGTGACGAAAATTCTGTCTGAAGGATGTTATATATTGATTTATATAAAATTTCTAACTGCTGCCTCAGCTCTTAACAACTACGGATTTTGCAAATATTTGTGTAAAAATATGAATTAATTTTCACAATCAATTAGTAATAGTTGTTCATGGGCTTGCAGTAGCTTCTTTACCATCAGATATAATAAAGATACCATAATTTTGAGTTTTGAGACTGATTAGTAAATTAGTACATAATAAACCTTCATTTAATTTATGAATAAAGACTTCAATGGGACATTCTAAAACCATAAATCTTGATCAGTTGATATAATTCAGTCATGAACGTTACTGGTAATGATCCACGTTTGATCTTCGGTGTCGTTACACGCTTGCTATGAAGGTATTTATCAATAATAGGACGAATTTTGACACACGTGTGTTTGCACCTCCTCTGAATCTAGCTGTTCTTATTATAATGATATGGAGTCGAATATTCGGTGCAATGTAGTTGTGAAACGTAGCCTTTGATGCGGTCGAGCTTTCCTTCCATTGATTTATATATTAGAAGCTGCGGCTGTTTAGTTCCTTACGCAAATGTAAAAATCGTTCTGAATCGATTAACGAGTAGGTATTAGGAACCATTTCTATCTCTCAGCCACTTGTACTCGCTTTTCACCGCACCCCTTCCCGGTGACACGCGTCGTCACTGTCGTAAGTCCGTCGAAAGCTCGGAAGTCCTTGAATGTATATATTTCTTTTTTTTTTCAAAAATATTTATTTATGCAAGTACTATTATGCATGGCAAGAAAAAATTTTGTGGCTCTTTAAATACTTTGAAATTTTTTAAATTGTAATTTTGACTCTTGCGACTCAAAAGGTTGCCGACTCCTGCACTAGAACAAAGAGGCAGTCATAACTGAACACACTTAAACTAAAGTGCTTTTTTTATTTATCAGCTCGTAATAGTGCACAGTTGGATATTGGCGTTTCCCACTGTAGAGAGGATTTTCCTTAATCGCCATGCTGGGCAGGTAGATTGGCGATTGCACCAGATGTCTCGAACCATCGACGCTGTTAAACATCATCGGTCTGGTTAATTTATGTCTGTCATATACATGTGCTGGACACCCTCAGGCTCGTCGGAGCGACAATCAGCTAAAGGCGGCCGGGAGTAACTGGATGCTTGAAGTCTAAGATCGGGCTAAGTGACGCGGCTTAGGAGAGGCCTGTGTCTAGCAGTGGACTGCCGCAGGAGATTTATAATGATGATATCATCATCATCATCCCTACCCCTTCACAGCCACTGCTGAACATAGGCCTCCCCCAAGCAATGCCACAAAGCACGGTCCTGAGCCACTCAACCCACTCCTAGCCTTACCGCCCCAGTCGCCGTCACTACGCCTACCGGTACGAGGCTGCCACTCTACCTTTCTTCCCCATCTTCGGTCCTTCGAGCATATGGCCGACCCATTACCACTTCACTACGGCTATGTCGGTCACTCTGGTTTACTGCGATATCGTCATTTCTAGTCTATCACGCATGATGATATACAAGATGTTATACCGCGGTTTTTTTCATAATCGATTTGACGACACCTATTGCACGAATACATGTAATGAATTATCTTACATCGTAACACGTAAACCGTTACGTGTATTTGAGAACAATTTATTCAAAGCTAATAGAGTTTTAAGACCAAGAGTATTGCCAATACAATAATAGAGTTAAACACTTCTAAACTGCCAAAGTAAACGGCGGAAAGGTAAATATTTTTATGTTACTTTATTCATCAAATCCAATATCAGTAGATACCATAATTTAAATATCTGAAACTACCGTACCGATATTCATTCTGTTTTACATTACTGAATAGATTGATTTAAGAGGTTGGACTCCATTTTTGCCTAGAAGTCCGTCTAAGTACCACACTCTTAACTATTTCTGCCTGCACTGTTATGTTCAGGGCTGAAGGGTATAGACAGCAACAGGCGTGAGACATTCTAATATTAAAAACGGATCCATAGACGTTTTTGTTTGAAGTCCGTTGCAGGTGTTTATGAATAAAAAAGCGCTGTATCGCTTTCTGTCTATTTTTTCCATTCTTTTATATAGAATAATGGTAACAAATGAGCACACAGTCCACCTGATCGTATGTGGATGCTGTGGCCCATAGTCATCTACATTTATCCTCGAATATGAATCAAAAAGCAGATGCGTTGTCACACCTGGGGACTAACATGGAATGCCGCGTTTCCAGTAAAAAAGGGTCTCTGTGTCTCTACACCCACCATACGAAACACAGTAGTATTAAGCTGCTATTTTACGCTGGTATTCTGTGAGAGCGTGGTCCCACCCCGGTCGAGTCGACCCAATCGTGCTACAAACATAATATAGCTGCAGCGTGGCTCTACCACATGCAATTAGAAACATTAATTTAAGTACACTAAGGAGAAATTTAAATTTAAGTATTTAATGGAATATCAACACGACATTCTAAAACTGTTAACCTGCAATATAATGTGTAATCTGAAGTTATCATTGTGCGTCTCGGGGAGGATGAAATTTTCATGCTGCTGCCAGCTGCAGCGTGGCTCCACCACGTGTATTTATAATTCGCAATAACAATAAAAAGAGCATTAAAATACACGCAGTAAAACTTGAGTTTATATGAATAGTTCGTGCAACAAAGTACAAATATATATAGCATACATTAAGTATATACATTACGTTATATTTACCGTAAATATTTTTTATTTATAATATATATTAGAAAGCCAACATGATATTCTACAAAGAAAAATGTTTATAAATTTAAGTGATTAATCTAATGTTTAGAATATATCATACTTAAAGGCTAACTTAAGATGTTAAAATGAAATAATAAGTAGAGCACATTAAGGTTGAAAAACGAATAAAGGACAACAAAACAACTTATTTTAAGGCACGAAAAACAAAACAATTTTATAGCAACTCATGAGGTGGTCTACATTTTATTAGAAAAATATTTTTTAATTTTATTTTTAAAATTAGTATAAGAATCATTAAATATGTCAAGATCGACTAACTTAGAAATTACGTTTTTAAGGTTTTTAAGGTACACATGTCACATTTGATGACAGTTGTTCTACAATACCTAGCTATGAATAAAACTAGGTATTGTAGAACAAACTACTACCGAATAATAATAATAATAATTTATTTGATACAGACAACAAGGATCCATTACAAAATTAAATTTAAAGATTACACCTTAAATATTAATTTCTATTATTGGATAATTAATCAAAATATTAAATATTATTATTTAGAAATAAGACAAAAAAACAATCTTTTTTTAAAATTAATTTGACCACCTATAAAAATTCAAAAGAAGATACTGCACCAAAAAGGGAACTAAAATAAACTATGATTTCTTATTCCAGAATTAGGTCTAGGAATAACATATGATATTTTACCTAAATATTGGTATCTTATGGTAAATATACACACATCACATACATATCTTGTCTTATCACTTATATAATACTGTGTTGGCCATAAATATTAAAGATGTAGAATTTTAAAACATATCTCGAATGGTAGGTATGGTTGTTATTGTCTTATTGAATAAATATAACATATAGTACGATGAACTACATAATGTAAGTTGATATGGAACCTGACACACAAAAATTGTGCAATTTAAATGTATCATCACTTGTAACAGCGTAACAGTGGAAACGATGAACCTGCTCCGATGAAGGTTTATTACCTTATGTCCGTTTTAGCGTGATAAGCTATCATTGTCGTGGGTGACTGTCGGTGGGTTAAGCTGTCTTGAAACATCGCAATGTCGCGCATTAACATTAATTTTATTAACAAATGTTGATAAATACTTACCAAAATAAAAACGATAATTTTTTTGCTACTTGACAATGTTCAAGCGCTGTCGAATATCGAATAATTGTGTTATTCCCAGTATTTGTACCAAACAGTCGTACTAGTAAAACGACGGGGAATTCTCTTCCCAGTAGCTCATCACTATAATTCTGTTCCGCATAGATCTAGTCTCCGTTGGCACTGGTCGCCATGACCGAAATATGGTCTGAAGAACTATTCAACTGCCTTTTTCACG